GTCTTAGCGTATGAATTGGCAGGTGGAGTTTGGGCTACGGTGTACTTGAAGGGTGTACTACCTGACTCCATCAAAGTCCGACAAGGGTCCACTCTGCCTGTCCGCTGCCTTTGAGAACGACTGCGTCACAATCGTTGTACGAATTCACGTGATACTTGTTTTCAATATTGTAGGAGCCCCAAAAACATCTCCTTATTGACAAATAGCTTCAAAAATATCCTCTTTGATAACTTCCAACAATCTTCCGTGCTTTTAGAATCATTATCGCTCCCTTATTGGTTCCAAACGAAATAGTGTTTAGTATGTCTGCGTGCAAGTCATCCCTGATCAGCACATGACATTTGCTGGTACGGACGCTCCATGTGGTGTCGCACAGCTCAGGTCCATTGGAGGTGTTGGTGGGTCGCAGAACAACAGCCATGCAAAAGCTCTTTTTGCTCTGATTAAGGATCATCTGGGAATCGAAGGAAGCAGGTATTTTGCTGTAGTAGTGTGCCTTTTTCTGTAATTTTTCATTTATTTAGGATGTATATCGAATTCATCGACATCGGTGCCGCCGACATCGCCCACAATGGCAGAACATTTGGATAAGTTCAACGACTGTTCAGACTTGTCTTGCTATTCAACCCGGTTTATATAACACATACGGTTTTGTTACAGTTATTGTTATGTTACTAATAATGAACATTAGTTAGGCTTCTCATGGTTTCGTAACTTTGATTGCTGAGTGATACATGCAAAATGAGCGTCTAAGTAATATTCACGAGGGTGCGCTGATGAATTCTGCACGAGGGTTATTACGGTCGTGTGCCTTTCTGACAGATGTTTTGCGCAAAGTGCACATAGACGAGACAAAGGCAGTTGACTAGTTGTTCTGATTCATGGGGCCAACTCGTCCTGGATTCAGCAATTTGAAATCGACCTCCATTGTTGCGAATAATTATTCGAACAACAATAGTCGGAATGAAATTTTGAAACGAGACACATAATGCTTCTTTCAAACATCAAACGCAATCAAATCACATATCTCGAGGTTATTTAGTCTCTAATAACTCCGTCAGATTACATTTCTGCAAAATTATTGCGCCGCTTACAAATACTGGCTGCTGTTGCTGCTGGAGCACATTTTGAATTGTCTGCCTGAGATGTAATTGAATAAATTCGTCAGTAATTGGCAAAAGTTCTCAATAACAAGATTGCAGAAGAACACAATAGTTCGTGGGTCATTTGAAGCCTAGGAATACCGGAATGAATTTCTTGAATTTCTATCTATGCGGATAGTGCAATGAATCGAAAATCGAAAATCTTTGAATCGAAAAA